TAGCTGCCCATGATGGTATTTAGGTAGGCGTTGGTTTGTGCACTGCCATCGTCCAGGAAGATGATTGAGTCCGTGTCAAAGTAAAGAACGTTTCGATCCAGGACCTCTATGGCGCTGTAAAGAACCATACGAGCGTGGGCGGTGGTGTACGCGGCTATGACGACGTTGGTCTTATCGGAGCATTCATTAAACTCAGATTGGTGTTTGTAGTGTACCTCCACCATATCATCGGTTAAAAACATCACGTTGGTGACATCGACGGATTTGTTCAACAGCAGTGCAAAGTACTCGTCCACCTCGGTGACGTATTCGGACTGTGTCATGTTCATTCGTTGACCGAATTTGCCTGAAATAACAAACATAAAAAATAATAACATAACTATGCGAGTAAGGATAGTGAAAATGCACGGATGAGAAGTACTGTAATATTGTATGATGTGAATAAACAAGGTGTAAACATAATAAAGCATCAAGGACAGATGTAATATGCAAATGTACGTACGATGTTATTACCATTATTTACGGTGAATGACAAATACAAATATTGGAATCATGCGTGAACCTCAGACATAGTGTATGTAATAAATGAATGCTACCTCTGTTTATACGTACCCCAAAAGCTGTTAAGCATCAGTTTAGACAAAGCCCTCAGACCTGGGTTCTTCTTAATTTGGTTAGGGTCTAGTCGAATGCCCTCTTTGGTGAAGTAGGAAGCAATGTAGTCTCTTTTGAGCTGTGGTGTCGTGCACTCTGGTGGATAGCCGCTGGCCTCTTGTTTGAGCTTGAGAAATGTATTGATATAGTCAGAGAAAAGACCCCCCGTTTTGGTGATTGGGTTGTATTCGCTAACATGATCATAATGCCAGACCTCGTGCATTTGTTTAATCACATAGCCCTTGGAAACGGCCTTTTTTAACTCGACCGTAACCCATGTACCTGTCATACAACGCTCTTCGTCATTATGCTCACACCGTGACTGCTGCAGTGTGTCAGCGCATGTGCGACAAAGAGGAAATGTTAGTTTCCCTTGTGATCTATAGGGAAGGACAGGATGATAAAGGCCGTGAGGAGGAAGAATAGTACATTTGACTAAACCTTCATACTCGCTAAGAGGACCAAAGTTTTCGGTTATGATGGTGGGGTGACAGAGGGGGTATGGTTTGTATTTGTTGACATAGGGATATAGACTACACACGTCAATGTAACGTATTTTCTGTCCCTGATCTGCCTGACAAAAAAGCTTGACTGCGTTCGTCCTGCCCCCGTAAAAGGCTTCACGAGGATCAATACAATCGACAACGTTCACGCTATCCACTATTTCTTTCACGCCAGCATCCTCCCGTATGACCCTGTCAAACTCACACTCCCATACCTCTATGTAGTTGAAACCTAAAGATTGAAGCGCATGTTTCTTATCCACCGTCCTTTCTAACAACTCACCCATTGTCATCAAATTGACATTGTTGATATTGTAACTGTTGTAACATTTTGGACACCCATGCCAAAAACACCCCTGATACTCGTAGACAGTGTTAGTTGTTGACGCCCAACCATCAACGACAAACTTTCCTATTTTCTTTTCTCCCTGATTATGAGCATGCTGTATAAAGACATTGTCACGCTCCGCCCTATACCGCAACCATTTAGCTGCTTTCACGGACGTTTTGTTTTTCGGCTTATACCCCTGTGCTGGAATAATGCCGATCGTGTTTTGCATAAGAAATAAAGATCTGAACACAACATTGCATGCGACATTTTGATGTTCGAACGTACAACTTAGGTCAGTGAATTGGAGTTTGATTTGACCATTCCAACATGTAGTAATGTTTACATTATTTACAAATATATATTTATATACATGTATATGATTAGTTAAATTAATTGTTAACTTACCTCTTCGTGTATGTCACTAAGAGTGTATGCAAACTGGTCCATGACCAGCTTGCACAGCATTGGGTCCCTTAATAGTTTGTTAACAGTTTTTGTGCTGATGCGTGCTTAATTCTGCACACAAAAGTTTATGCAGCACGCCCTAAGGGACGTGCATCCCATTCTATCTGCCATTGGCATTAAGTCAATGACATTATCTACACTTAATCTTTTCCTAAGTTCCTCCTCGCACAACTCCTCAAGAGTTGCTGCATTTTCCTCCCAAATAGCCTCCATGGTGTATTTGGAAGGATACCAGAGCATTATTTGAAACGTGGTATTTATACCCCCTCTTCCCCTAGTCTCAGCCAATCTGTATTATGAACATGATTATGAAATGATTGACAGTTGACAATCTCATACTACCACACCCATGTTGAAGCCAGTCTCCCATCCCTCCACTCCACCAAGCCCATCCACTCCCCTTTCTTTCCATCGTTTCTTAGTTAAACTCGCTTACGTCTAATGAGCATTTTCGTGTTCATTGCAGTTGTTGTGACTCTGCAGTGCTTTTCCCATGCATCTATTACAGCTGTAGCAATAAAAACAAAAGTCATAGTACTGTAATATGATTTTATAACGGACTACATTCTATATGTATATATACATAAAAGTCTATCTAAAATAGTCAACAGAAAAATAAGAGTCACAATTCAGTTTCTCCTTGAGTTTCCTCTGTATTTCGACGTCTTCGTCTCAAATAAAATCTTCTAACTAAGTGGATGGCATATGCTAGCGCTAAACTACTTATACTGGCAAGCCCCGAGGATAATCCAGCTGAAACAAAAATGAAGCGTAATAACTATGCATTCTACAAAGAAGCTACTGAATCATAAATTCTGTCTTCTAACTGTATTGGCGCTAAATAACTCTGATTACTTAAACTATTCATCGACTCTGGTTCTACACGTAATTGTGTGCGAAAAAATAATTTTATCAGTCATCCTATGATTGCAATAACGCTAAATAAAATTGCTGTGGTCAGACTAACTGTAATAAAGTCAGGTGTAGTCCAGTTGCACGTACAGATGGTACTTGCACAGTCAGCCATTTCATCTTTCTCAGTGGGGTTGGAAAGTGGTGATGAAGTAGTCATATCGGTAGCTGCAACTGATATGAATGTCGTCGTATTCCTCGGGTTACAAACAACGTCCATATCAGTGGCCTTGTCAATAGGGCAATTCCCGTTTAGAACAATCAATACATCCCCATCTGGAAACATGTTATCCAGGTTTACACCTTTTGCATGGTCAGCATCCTCAAAAATGATCACTCTCATACCTAATAATATAAAAAAACGGTACGATATTTACATCAATAGATTGGTTGGATACAACTTAATTTTCCCCCTATGCTCTATATGTTTAGGTAAAATTGAATGTAAATTTCATAGGAAATTAATTTTACTCACCCGAATAAACTTCGCCATCTTCAACACCATGACATTTAACTGTGTAAACAGGTAAATTTCGGTTGTTACAGTCTCCACGGGCAATGCTCATCCGAGATATAATCAAAAGTGTAAGAAATAAATTGAGTCTTTCCATGATGAAGTTCTACGTGTTTCTAAGTTTTCGCTTACTATAATCCTTACAACATCTGGTTTTCAACGGTCAATGTTCAAGTTTTATAATTAGCCTGGCTATGCTAGCGCTTTGATCTATGTAGTAATGTGATTTATTAGGAGGGGCCTGGACATTTTAATTGAGACAGTGGTTAGGGAACACTGTTTCTATCTATCCATACATGTGAAGTGATAAAAATTGCAGTAAAATTGATAACCGCTTTTCATTTTCAAGCTAAAGTTCATAAGTNGATAGAATTTGTCATTAAAGGAACACCCGACGAATATATCGATACGACGCAAATCAACCTATACGTTGAAGGTCAAATTGTTAAAGCAGATGGAACTGACATCGATGCAGGACAAAACACGTCAGTTGTGAATAACACGCTACACTCCCTATTTACAGCGGTTGACGTAGAGTTGAATGACCATTTAATAACTGTGGGACAGAATACATATGCCTACCGCGCATACTTGGAAAATTTATTGTATTATGAGAAAAATGCTAAAGAATCGCTTTTAACTTAGGAAATGTATTACCGAGATACCGATGGAATGATGGATGACGTTGATGTAGACGGAGACCCAGGGAATGAAGGATTTAAGGCCCGTAATTCTTGGTTTTAAAGGAGCAGGAGGGTTGAAATGTATGGACCGTTAAAAATTGACTTAGCCACTCAAAACAAGCTTCTGAATCAAGTGGACGTACGAATCAAGTTGCGAAGGACGTCGCATGCATTTTGCCTTATGTCGGACACGGATGAACAAGAGCAATTTCTGATCAAAAACATATCCCTTTTTGTAAGGAGAGTCAAAGTATCTGATCGGTTGAAACTGGCTCATGATAACATATTAGCCAAGCACGTAGCATGTTATCCCATGACTAGAAGGGAAGTTAAAGTTATCAATTTACCCAATGGTGTAAGAACGGCTCATATTGACAATGCGTATTTTGGACGCATGCCTAAACGTATTCTTTTGGCTTTGTTGGAAGATGATGCTTTTTCGGGAGATTATACTAAGAATCCGTTTAATTTCAAACACAACGATTTAAGGCAACTTCGATTAATGGTGGCGGGGGAACAAATACCATTCAAACCTTACAATTTTGATTTTAGTGTTCAAGGGGGGTTAAACTACTTAAGGGCGTATTATGATCTTTTGTCAGCAGTTGGAGCGTCAGACGGAGAGCACAGCATCGATATTGATAGAACTCAATACCTGAATGGATATGTTTTATTCGCTCTCGATCTAACCCCTGATCAAACCTTTGACAATTATATAACTCCAACAAAGCAGGGTTCGCTTAACATCGATCTGGAGTTTGGACAGCAGATTAACAATATCGTGTTGCTTGTCATGGCTGAATTTGATTCAGTTATCAAAATTGACCAACGTAGGAGCGTTTTTGTAGAATATTAAATATGAATACGAAGCAAATAGAATGCATTCTTCAGACTGATCCGGTTGATTTACGAGAACATGTTTTCAAGGGGTGTTTGCATCAGACGCGTTGCCCAAAAAGATATGGACTTATCCAGCATGCCTCGTGGCTAATACGGATCCTCAGGATAAACCGGGCGTGCACTGGGTTGCTTTTTACTGAATCTCAGTAAGCACAATCACACGCTATTGAAAGTCTCATAGAGACGAAACAGCACATATTAATTAATGGCGATTGCCTCTTTGTGTACGTTGTACCGTGTCACTAAGTACACCCCGAACTTACGAAATATAGCTTGGGAATGAAAAACGGTTATCAATTTTACTGCAATTTTTATCACTTTTCGCCACAGGAAATAATAATTCGTTCGTGTATAACACGTGATAAAAGTTATAAAGTAAACCCGTCAAGCCGATAGATGCCAATTACATTTTTGGACATGTACGATACACATCTAAAACACCCTTTCACTGCTCTTTTAGCAGGGCCCACTGGATCAGGAAAAACAGTGTGGATTAAAAGGCTATTATCGAATGCCGATACAATGATTTCACCGTCGCCACAAAAGATAATTTATTGTTACGATATTTGGCAGCAGTTGTTTGATGAAATTCAGAGCGAACACCCTGACACAGTAACATTCTTTAAAGGTATTCCTACCGACTTAACCGACGCCACCTTTTTTGATTCTCAATTAAATAATCTAATAGTACTCGATGATCTTTTTGCCGTATGAAGCGACGATGCCCGGATCCGTGACCTATTCACAAAAGGCTCTCACCTTCGTGTAGTATTGATTGTACAAAATTTATTTCCCAAAGAAAAGCACGCGCGAACCATATCGTTGAACTGTCATTATTTGGTTCTTTTTAAAAACCCCCGTGACTCCCTGCAAGTCAAAACGCTAGGAATGCAAATGTATCCCAACGATCTTAAAACGTTTATAAATGTTTATAAAGACGCCACAGCCAGTGCCCATGGTTATTTACTAATAGATCTCAAACAACACACTGCGGAAAACATTCGTCTGCGCACCAATATCTTTCCCGGAGAAACGCATTACGCATACACATGTAAATGACTGAACATATTTTCATCGCTTCGGTGTATCATGAAAGTTGAGACAGAAAAGTTATTCAATGCTCATGTCAATTTGCTTTCCATAGCCGACAAGAAATTGATAACTGCCGTTGTTAATTAAGAGATTACGTTAAGAGACTGGCATTGAAATTATAAGAGGCTGGTGTTGATTCTGTGAACAGGGAGGACAATATAAGGCCAGGGCATATGAATAATCAACAGCATTTTCTCACGGTTGTCACCCTACATTTTCCCGCGAACAACACAATGGTATACGTAATTTTATGTGACGTGGGATATTTTTATTGGTTAAAAGTTTTATTTCATTATTCTAAATATTAATCATCGTGGCTTCGGCGTCATTTGGGCATTAGCGTCGGTTGGGTGATGTCGCAGCAATGGTAGAAGGCCCTATGGAGAGACAGTGTAGGAGCACACAAAATNCGGAAAAAAATAATTTTGATACGGAATCCGGGTGCAGTTAAGGCAATTCTAAAACCGATAACAAGAAATGGCAGGCTTCAATAAAATGGTCTTAATCAACGAGAACGAACTGAATGCTTTGAAACAGAGAGTAAGCGCTAATTATTCCCCCTTTGTCGAAGAAACACTACGTTTAGAAAATGAAATGAAGAAAACTTTGCAAAGGACCGATGTACCATTCGATGAAAAAATGAGTATCTACAACGATCTTCAAAGTCAATATCTGAGTAAAGCGAGAAAACGCGAACCGGTTGCAGTTGTTGTGCACAATTCGTCACAACCGTTAGAAGCACAACCTGGAGTTGACACCGCTGACGCAACCGCAACCCCCATCGTCAAGTCAGAGGCTGGATCTGTATTACATCTTAAAGCCGAGATATTAGATGCAATACCACAGCGTGTGCGTCGCAAAGCTAACGTAATTTTGAGATACATGTCTAACCAACCTAATGTGCTGTCGTATAATGATCAAGGGGAGTTGAAATACAATGGTAGAGTGTACGAAGGAAGCAATGTAGTAGATTTGTTTAACGATCTGTATGTACCCCGTAGGAATTACGAACCGCCAGGGCTTACTGTATTTTTAAAGGGTTTGAAACGTCTTAATGTACCGCTAAATAACATCTCAAACGTAAAGCGGCGCAACCAGATTATGTCGTTGGACACTTCTTCCAGTTCAACTCAGATGGGCTCGGGACATGTAGCAAAAACTAAACTAGCTCCCCAGGCCAAGTCAGAAGATTCGGAAAATGTAGTAAAATCTAAACTATCTTTATTCAACATATATTGAAATAAAATAATAACATAAAACATATTTGCACAGCTGTATTTTTATTATTACTCGAATAAATGTGTTTAATACAATATTCCTAGTGACTTCTTTGATCTACAAACTTGAAAACACGCGTTTACACAGTAGGGTATGTTGCAATGTGCATTAACATAATCATACACTAATATATCATTAAATTGTTTGTCGCTGGTGAATTTACTAAGTATCTGTTCTAATTTTTTTCCACGAGATCTATTCATCAAGTAATATATACAGTATTGTCCACACACTTTGGTATACAGGCTCTGTAATGGCCTAGTGTTACAATTCCACCCAGATAAAGAGTTTTCGTCTAAAAAACGTTTAAAAGCTGCGTTGTAATAATAAGGTGATTTCGCATAAGAGTCAAAGAACTCTCCGTGTCCCTGTTCATCAAAGTAAAAAGCAACCCAGTGCACGCCCGGTTTATCGTGAGGATCCGTATTAGCCACGAGGCATGCTGGATAAGTCCATATCTTTTTGGGCAACGCGTCTGATGCAAACACCCCTTGAAAACATGTTCTCGTAACCGGATCAGTCTGAAGAATGCATTCTATTTGCTTCGTATTCATATTTTAATATTCTACAAAAACGCTCCTACGTTGGTCAATTTTGATAACTGAATCAAATTCTGCCATGACAAGCAACACGATATTGTTAATCTGTTGTCCAAACTCCAGATCGATGTTAAGCGAACCCTGCTTTGTTGGAGTTATATAATTGTCAAAGGTTTGATCAGGGGTTAGATCGTGAGCGAATAAAACATATCCATTCAGGTATTGAGTTCTATCAATATCGATGCTGTGCTCTCCGTCTGCCGCTCCAACTGCTGACAAAAGATCATAATACGCCCTTAAGTAGTTTAACCCCCCTTGAACACTAAAATCAAAATTGTAAGGTTTGAATGGTATTTGTTCCCCCGCCACCATTAATCGAAGTTGCCTTAAATCGTTGTGTTTGAAATTAAACGGATTCTTAGTATAATCTCCCGAAAAAGCATCATCTTCCAACAAAGCCAAAAGAATACGTTTAGGCATGCGTCCAAAATACGCATTGTCAATATGAGCCGTTCTTACACCATTGGGTAAATTGATAACTTTGACTTCCCTTCTAGTCATGGGATAACATGCTACGTGTTTGGCTAATATGTTCTCATGAGCCAGTTTCAACCGATCAGATACTTTGACTCTCCTTACAAAAAGGGATATGTTTTTGATCAGAAATTGTTCTTGTGCATCCGTGTCCGACATAAGGCAAAATGCATGCGACGTCCTTCGCAACTTGATTCGTACGTCCACTTGATTCAGAAGAAGCTTGTTTTGAGTGGCTAAGTCAATTTTTAACGGTCCATACATTTCAACCCTCCTGCTCCTTTGAAACCAAGAATTACGGGCCTTAAATCCTTCATTCCCTGGGTCTCCGT